GATCAACAATAAAAAAATTTTAAAAACTGGAAAAGGGGAGAAGATGATTTCAGGATCTGACTCAACTCAACTGCTCCTCCTAGTGCAATAACAGTGTCCTTACCTCTCTCTCACTGTTCCAAACTGGCAAGGAAAATGAACAGCAGTAACTTATCTTGCAATATATTATTGGGTCGTCAGAAAAGTTATATTCTTTTGAGTTTGAATATCTGCTAAATCTTTGGACATTTCTCCCCTATCACTGCTTTATTTGTATAGAATACTAAGAAAATCTCTAAAAAGATAAAATTGTGCCAATGGTTACTGATATACATGAAGGTATTTTTCTATGGAAAAAAAAAAATGCTCATGACTTTTCTGATGACCCAATAATATATTAGAAAATTTTAGATCAACTTGGAATAATAGGGCATAGTGGAAAAGAGGGTCTTTCAGTGTCTCAAGAAGCTCTGACCTACATCTTAATGAGACATGCCAGATACGAAGACAAGAAAAATTCAATAGAGCACCATTAACATAAATACACAGAGTGAGATGATGTTACTCCTCCAAATACTATTGCAAATACATTGTTTTATGCATATGTAATACAACTATCTAGCAAATCATCTTTAAAATATGTTTTGAAAACTAAACATTGAATCAGATCAAATATTCAGGAAAGTTCAAGAACACAAAGTTAGGAAACATTGCTAAATCCTCTAAATTGCATTTGTAGCTCTGCTGGTACCTTCAAATTGAAATGTTTTCTCTGCTATTTTTGTGTTCCAGGAAAGATAGATTTATTATGATGTTTCTGTATTTGCTACACAGTTTTAAGAATCAATTTTTACAAACTCTTAGGAGAAATCCAGTTGCGTCTTAACAAGGAGTATAAACAGAACTAGACCATGTAGAGAAATAGCAGGAAAAGGTTAACCTGTACCTATTCAAGTCTGCGGATGTGCTTTGCTTTACCAGTCAGGAGTGGTGCTTTTTGTTTTTGTTTTGACAGATCTGTCTTCTGTGACTTGGTGGTTTATCCTTAGTTCTCTTTTTGATACTTGCAAACCTCCCAAATTGTTCAACTGTTAAAAAGTTCCAAAACAAGCAAATGTGTTCCTGGAATCTTACCCTTAACTTTGCTGAGAGCATATACTCAGGCTTCTTCTCCAGCCAAAATAATAAAAGATCTTTTAAGTGGCTTGAATTCTTGGTTGATTGCACATACATGCCAATGTCAGACAACTATAAATAGAGAGATTTAGAAGAGAAATAGGGAGTCTTTATAACTCCAATGAAATAAAATGGAATGTTCTGAAGGCAGACAGAGAGCAGTAGACGTTTTTATAAAATTAAGATTTGTCTCCATTTAATCCCAAATCCCCTTTCGGCAGGAAGAGCCCTCATGGATCATGTACTTCCAGAATGAGGGAATAAAAGGACTTCTTGTCTTTATTAAGATGTGCGTCTTATTCTCAACCCTATAATTAAGATTTCTTCTTTATATTCTTTTGAGTTTGAATATCTGCTAAATCTTTGGACATTTCTCCCCTATCACTGCTTTATTTGTATAGAATACTAAGAAAATCTCTAAAAAGATAAAATTGTGCCTATGGTTACTGATATACATGAAGGCAGCAGGGAACTGCATTGGTGCTACCTGGGACAGACTTGGTCTCTAAATAAACTGGCTACTTGTTATAGTTATTCAAAGAGAATTAAGGAAGGGACCAGCAGGTAGCGTAATGGCTATGTCGCTGGACTCCCACGTAGTCAACCTTGGTTCGAGTCCCAGACCCGGTGGCTTAAAACTCACGCCGGGCGCGTGTGCGTGCATGCCCAAAATCCCGAGAGGAGAATGGAGGAGAAGGGACTACCATCCCCCTGGTGGGTGATTTCTCGCTTTCTGTCTCTCTGCCTCTCTCATCAATCTGGCGAGCACACATGTCCTATAGCAAAAAACTCTGAAAAAAAAAAAAAAAGAGAGACTTAAGGACTTACTTCTCAAGAAATTCCTACTCTTTCGGGCAGGTTAACATGCCCACTAGCTTTTGTTTTAAAAAGTTTTATTTCTTTATTTCTTCTGAGAGACAGAGAGAGAGAGAGAGGTGGTGCCTCTATTGGGTCTGAATGCCACAATCCACCCCGGTCTCAACTGGCCCAGATCATTTGCATATGCATCAGCCTGGCATGCTCAGGGAGGTTTTGGGATGTGAACTCAGAATCTTTCCATCCATGTGGATACTTGTGTTACCTCTATGTCACCACCCGGTTTTATATCTTATACATGCATCATATATATATATGTGTGTGTGTTTTTTAAAAAAACTATTCAGTTCATTCAAAAAACTGACAAATCTCAGTTGCAATAGTACAATTTTGCAAAATATTGTAAACATTTTGCACACTAGTCAGACCTTTCTTTTACACAAAGTACTCTTTTGATGACAGATTAATTAACAAATACTCACAATAACAAATTATATATTATATATACGTATATATACATATATACACACACACATACGTATGTATGTATGTATGTATTTGCCAGAGGGCATGTGCACTTGCCAAAAAGAGACAGAGAGATGGGGCGTTGGGGGAGAAAGCACCCTCCACTGGGGCATGGTCATGCTGCAATCCTTTCTCCTCCATTTTCCCATCCTTTCAAGATTTGGGGCATGCACACACATGTGCCTGGAGTTTTTCAAGCTGCTGAATCTGGGATTTGAATCACAAGATCAGCCATTTGGGATCCAACTCCCTTAACCAGTAGATCACAGGTCAGCAAATACATATTTTTGAAAACAGTGTTACTTAACTTTGGACATTGACACTGTAAAAAATAGGCATGTTCACCATCCCTACTATAGTAATCCATCTAAATTGAATTTGAATTAGTTATTGTAAACTAGTTGACTTATTTTGAGTGTAGAATCACTGTACAAGAGAATTTACCAGTTGCTTCAGTTTAGTAATTGTGCTGTAGACAAGGAAATTAATTAGCAGCAATAAAGAAAACCAGCACTTATTTAACAGTCTTTTAATGCAGTTCTTTGGACTCTAGACCTGAAGTGAATGATATTAGAATGTCAATAGTGGTTTACAAAGGATGCTTCCTCCAAATCAATAATATAATTAATGTCTCTGAACTCTTGGTTCTCTCCAAATTATGTTGGGTTTTAGTTGGCTAATACCTATTCCTTAGCTCCATAGATTCAGCATTTAACACTGGAATACTAGAAAGGAATATGTCATTATTTTTAGTGATGATTTTATCACTTATTATTTCTGAAACAAATCCTTCAGCCAACAAAAGATAAGACAGGAACTTAAAAATAGTATGGTTCTAAACAAGCCATGTATCTAATTTAAAAATACTACCTCCAGTTTATTTTTAATATTTTACATAAAATATTTTAAAAGTAACCTAAGGATGGAGTTCACTTTATCTGATGATGTTTAATTAGTTTAAATGATAAATTTCATAATTCAAATTGTTTATTCCCTACAAATGCTGCTATGCTATGTGTGACATCAAAATTTCCTGGTACTTAGAATATAGGTTTAGAGTTTCAACTGCTTTTACATGAAGTGTGGGGCCAGCAGTGGTAAACACCCAATGCTCTGCGAGCTAATCCCACATGGGAAGGTTCCTGGTTCAAATCTAGAAACCTCCTTCAATATGCTGGCCACCTATGCCCATGATCCAGGCCTGGCTGAAGGCTAAGGGCAGACTTAGGTGTCAGGACCTTGATGGGAGTTGGTTCTCTCTCATGGAAAAAATAAGTAAAGTTAAACAAAAAATGTGTTTAATAAGCAGCTACCTGGCTGAACAGAACTTTTTGAATCATTATGAGAGAGATGTGTTTGATCATGTAATTAAAATAAAAATTATTCGCTGTATGTACTGTCTGATGTATAAAAGCACTTAATTAAAACATGATAGACCAATGATCAGAGGGACGTGCACAGATGCTCCCAGCAGAGATCATGTCTCCCAGGGGACACTCTAGACTCTAGAGTTAAGAGCAGATTTCAAATGGCAAAAGTGAAGCTCCACGTAAGACAAAAATGACTCTACCCGTGTGTCCCTCTAAGTACACGTTTAAGAAAAATAAATTGCCAAGTCTTTCAAATACACTACTGAAGAATTTAGTTTATTCACTCCATGAAAACCTCACATCAGTTGTCCACTGTGTCTACTGACAGCACTGATGAAAGTATTCTTAATATGAGAGGGTTTTTTATTATTATTTTTCATTTTCATTAGTGGTGTCCAAAATGAAAAATTCCCTAAGAGTAAAAAGTAAGACTGTTTCAGACAAAATTTTGTTATGCAAATTATAGTTTATTTAATCAAAGCAGTTCCAGTCATCTATTCCCCAGCATAATGCTGGAAATGTGATGCCTGCCTCTAAATGGGAATGACTCAATTACTCTGGTTCCATCTTCCAATGACTTAATAACAGGTTGACTCACAATAAAAACCCAGCTCTTCAGATCTTGTGAAATTTCAAACCCATTAAATAAAGCTATTTCACCAAGGTCAGACAAGAGAACAAAGAAGATAAATGGAATATACACACTTCAAGCAATAAATGTACTCAGCTTCCCAATAAGGTTCACAGAGAAAATAGGTAAACTGAAAAACTTTGAAAGCATAATTTTATCTAGCCCAAGTGTTGTCACCAACATGAGTTAGATTAGAAAGTCAGTCACTATTTTCGTAGGAAAAAAAAACTGTTTCGTGCATTCTTAAATATTTCTTGGAATTTAGTTAAAAGAGGATTGATCGCGTAGATTTTAGGATTCCCAGTCCTGACGCAATGCCATATTGCTCTAGGAACCCAAACTCAGCGTTGACTCAGTTTGAACATGGTAGCTGGCACACAGGTACAATAACAGCTTAATGGTTAATGAATGAATAAACAGCAGGATGAACGAATGTTTAAAAATACCACAACAAACTTAAAAGGAGAGCAAGAGAACAAATTCAATCTGTATTAAAGACTTACTTATTCCATGCTTGTCTAAGGTTTTTAGAGCTGTACAGAGAAAAGCGTTCTGAAATAAAAAAGAGAAAGGATAAACAACTATTATATCAAATGCATACATTGCAAGTGTATAACGAAAACTCAGCTTCTAAAAAAGACAGTGTTTGACCGAGTCATAGGCTAGCCACACTATGTTCTTTACCTTTAGGTTGGTGTTCCTTTCCGTATTCTTGTTTATGTTTATAAATACATACTTATTCATATTTATAAACAGTATACACAATTTTAAGTTTTTAAATGGATTGTGCAAATTTTGTTAAGCATTTAATAATATAGAGTGGTAGTCCTTCAAATCAAGAAAATACATATAACAATTTTTTTTTGAGAGATTTTTGCTTTAGGGTACATGTGCTCACCAAAGAGACAGAGAGTCAGAAAATAAAAAAAAAAATCACCCCCTGGGGGGATGGCCACACTGGAATCCTTTCTCCTCCATTCTCCTCTTGGGATTTTGGGCACACATGCATATGCGCCCAGCATGAGTTCTAAGCTACTGGATCTGGGACTTGAACTGTGGTCAACTGCATGGAAGTCCAGTGATGTAACCATTACACCATCAGCTGGTCCCTTTTTATAAAAGCTGTATAATATTCCTAGGAAAGAAAGACCATTTTTTGGGACCACCCTCCCATTAATTAAACTTTAAGTAGTTCCCTTTTCCATTTCCCTTACAAACGATGCTTTATGAATATCCTTGCACATTTATTTCTAGACATGGATGCTTCATATCTGTTGGATAGATTCCCCAATATAGACTTGTTTTCGAAATGGTACGTGTGTTTTATATTTTAATAGAGGCCAACAGATCACTATTCATTTTGCCATCAGCAATGAAAAAAATGTCTTTTTCCAGGTATTCCAGTACTGATTGTTAATGTATTACATTTCTGCCAAACTTAGGCTTGATAAAATATTCTTGTTTTGATGAGCTTTCTGGATATTTGGAGTTACTCTTTTTTCCAAATTTTACCTTTTATTCTAGTTATAGATTTTATTATTAGGCTATTGAATCTTTTTTTTTTTTTTTTTTTTTTCTCTAGGGCATGTACGATAGCTCACCAGAGAGACAGAGAAACGGAAAGAGAGAAATCTCCCCTCCAGGGGGCATGGTCATGCCACAATCCCTTCCCCTTATTCTCCTCTTGGGATTTTAGGCAGGCAGGCACACACGCACACACACTCGGCGTGTGTTTTAAGCCGCCAGGTCCAGAACTCGAACCATGGTCGACTATGTGGGAGTCCAGCAACATCACCATTACACCATCTGCTGGTTCCTAGACTATTGAATCTTAATCACAGATTAAGCATATATAAAAGTTTTTTATGTATGCTCAAATTGTCTCAATTACGTATTATATATATACAACTGATTATATATATGCAGTATATATCTACATTTCTGTATTACTTAAAAATGTATATATATATATATTTTTTGAGAAGTTTTTGCTATAGGGCGTGTACACTTGCCAGACAGACAGAGAGACAGAAAGTGAGAAATCACCCCCCAAGGAGGATGGCCATGCCGCAATCCCTTCTCGGTTCTCCTCTCAGGATCTTGGGCATGCACTCACACGCGCCTGGCATGAGTTTTAAGCCACCGGGTCTGGGACGTGAACCGTGGTCGACTACATGGGAGTCCAGCAACAGCCATTACACTAACTGCTGGTCCCAAAAATGTATGTTAATATATATATCACCACTGTGCCACAGCTGGCTCTCAATTTAAAATTTTTATTTATTTCTTCTATGAGCAAGAGAAAAAGACAGAGCAAGGCAGAGACAGACAGACAGTAACCCCAAGAAAGTCCCAACACTGAGCTCCACCCACAGCCTCAGTCAGCTCCAGATCACAGGCACCTGTATGCCAAGTGTACTCAGAAATACCTCTGGACGTGAACTTGAAACCTTTCCATGTGGGTCAGCCTCAAAGAACATTTTACCACTGTGCTATGTCTGGGCCTGTCATTTTGTTTTTAATAATTTAATAGTCAATGGGTTTACTTTTTCTTTAAAGTCACTGGTATCTTTTGCCAGTGTTTTTGTTTTGTTTTGTTGTAATTTGCCAGAGAATGAATGTACTCACTGGAAAGGGGGGGGGGGGGAGGAGAAGGTAAGAAAGCACTCCCTGTGGGAGATGGTCATGTCACAATCCTTTCTCCTCCATGTCTCCCTCCTTTTGGATTTTGGGCATGCACATAAATAAGCCCAGTGTGTTTTTCAAACTTCTGGGTCCAGGACTTAAAATGCCATCAACCATGCAAAAGTCTACCAAGTTAAACACCAAGCCACCCACTGGAACCCCACAGTTGGCTTTTAATTGTAAGTTTTTAATTTAATTGTAAGTTTTTGAGGAAAGGAGAATTACGTCTATTAGTTTTGCTGGAGTATATTTCATGTATAAGAATACCATTGGATTAAAAATGAAAAGAAATTTAAAAACACACTGAACTGGGGTCAGTAGATGGCATAGTGGTTACGTTGCTGGACTCCCACATGGATCACCACAGTTCAAGTATCAGACCTGGTTGCTTGAAACTCATGCCAGGCGTGTGTGTGTGTGCGCGCGCGTGCCCCAAAACAAAACAAAACACACTCAACCTATTTACTGGAAACACAGTGCAATCATTCATTCATTCATTCAACTACTATTTATTAAGCAACTACTACATGCCATATAGTTCTTGGGGCCAGAGGTACAGAAGGGAACCAAACAAAAACCTTCCTGCCTGCAGGGGCCTAGCATTCCAGTATGGGGTGTGCAAGGCTAGAGTATGCTGAAGAGCAGGATGGCTGGAGCACAGAACCCAAGAGAGGGAGGCTGAGACAGATATGATGCAGAAGGACAGAAGGCCTTTGTGGTCTTTATGGTACGATCTGATATGATTTGGGCTTTTCTTTGGTATCAATCTGGCTCCTGTTTGTAGAACACATTACTGGCAACAGGCAACTACAAGTATCCGGAAGAGAGATGATATAATCTGGGCTATGGTATCAGAGTGAACACAGGAAGAAAGGCATCAGAGTCTGAACAGATTTTGAAAGTAGGGCCAGTAAGATTTACTGATGAATTATAAATGGGGTGTGACTGAAAGGGAAAAGTCAAGAGTGGCTAACAGAACACTCATTGGTCTTCAATTTCCTGGCTTCAAAGATGTGGAAATTCATACACAACTCAAATATTATCCTGAGAATAAGTTCATTTCTTTCTTATGATTTAGAAGGTAATTAAAGTTCTCATGGAGATTTAGAGTTCTTGTTCAAGCAGGAATAACTGCAAAATACTTGATAACCTAGAAGGCACAGGCATTGACCAAACAGATTCAAAACTAGCCATTATGATGTAATGATGTATGTTAGGTTACCATCAGCCCCCATTACAAATGGCCATTATTCTCAGGAGACAGGCAAAAGTGCCCACCAATAATTATGTATTTATTTGTTGCAAAAGAGTGTCTAATTTCTGACTTTATTCTTTACTAGGTTGCATTATATAAAGTACAGTATAATTCAGGCAGTTAGGGTAGAATAGAAATTTTAAGGCATATTCTAGGTTTGAGGATTAGCTGACAAGGAAAAGAGAAATGGGAAGTATAGTTCTTTGTATAAATTTTTTTCTTCTTCTAATTATTATCTAAAGTCTGGTATTAAAAACGCAAGAGAGATTTTAAAAACTAATTACATCAAATGTCATTGTAAAACAAATTTGATTTCCTTAACTTTGTACTCCCCACAAAGCAAGTTTAATAATTTGCTATGATTTCAGGATGAACAAGAATTCCATTACAGATAAAATTAATACAATCTCGCATTTACAAGTAAATTATTATTCTTAGCAATTAACTATTGCACATAAATATTAGTTCTAAGAATTGCTTCTATTTAGAGCTTGACAGGATATGCTAATAGAATTTTTTTCCAGAAATACAATATGTCAATTTCAGCTGTGCATAAAAGAGAAAAATTGATAGTGAAACATGCCATATGATAGTAAAAAAAATTAAAGAAATAAAGATGTAGCCTCATTCTCAAGTTTACTTCCTGTCACTATTGATGTAAAATATTTTTTTTTTTTTTTTAAGCAAATATTGCCTGGACACCTGCATGTGTGCCAGGTAAGGCAATGGAGACACAAAAATGAGTAAACAGTGATGAAAGCTCAGTGCAGATATGTGGGGGAATATGTCATGATGTGAATGTGGACCCAATTCCCAAGGAAATTGGAGCCAGAACCTCTGTGTCTATATCTTTTCCTAATGAAGACAGGAGAAAACACACATCTGAAGCTAGCTCCAGGAACATACAGAGCCTGGTTGCATTTATCCAACATCTTGCAGACTTTTTTATTTAAAGGTTTTTGCCACAGGGTGCGCGGGCTGGCCAGAGAGAGACAGAGAGGGAAAGTGAGAAATCACCACCCAGGGGCATGGCTACACTACAATCCCTTCTCCTCCATTCTCTTCCTGTGATTTGGGGCACACACACACACATACCTGGTGTGATTTTCAAGCCTCCGAGTCTGACACTTGAACATGGTCAGCTGCGTGGGAGTCTAGCGCCCTGACCATTTTAACTGACCAAGAACACCATTTCAAATGTAACTTTTTCTAACATTTTCTGAGATGAGTATTACATTTATAATTAGATTAAGCTATTATATTTTATAAACTACTTGGCAGTACAGTGCTAATGTACTGCTCAAACGAAGCTGGTTTATGTGGTAGATTGTAAGTTCGGATCCCTGGTCAACCTGTACATTAGTGTATGTGATCCTGGCTGGCTGGGAAGACTGGGGGAATATAGCAAGTGTGAGACCCTGTTGAGAGTCTCTGTCTCCATCCCTGTCTCTCTTGAATGAAAAAAATAAGATAAACAACAAAAACAGATCCATTATGAACAAAAGTTCATTTCTATTAGAACGAAAACAACATAATTATCCATGTAAGCTCTGAAAACCAAAAATTGTTTAAATTGGTGCCCCAAATAGGTAACAGGTATATTTAAAGAAAT